ATCTTTCTCTCCCTCACAAAGTTTGTCTCTGCCTGCCTGTCTGCCTTTCTCTCCTTCCTTCCTTCCTTCTTGTGATATCTATCTATCCATCTATCTATCTAAATAACCTTATATTAATCTCTTTCCATTATTACCCTTGGCACTGTTACACCCTTAATTTCAAAATCTCATAACAATTTGATCATGTAATTTTTCATTAATTTCCAATAAGTGGAAACAATTCCATGTCTGTGTATTAAGAGCCAGATTATCCTGTAGGCTAGTACACACTGCAGCTTTGAGCCCCTCAAGCTTGATGGGTACTGCTAATCATTTTCAAATATATATTTTTTATGATTTCTAAAAAATAATATTTGAATAATTAACATAGCTGAATAATCCATTTTACTTAAAAACAATGTTCACCCTTAAAAAAGGAGGCCTGGGAGTCTGACCCCACCCCAAAAAAAAAAAAAAAAATCTCTTATTTGAGTTTTAAGAATTTTATTTTTGTTTGATATTTGTTTAAGGACTTTTGCTTGAGATAATGAGCTCCTGTTTGTGGCCTTTTATTTAAGATAAGGGATCCCTACTTGAAGTCCTTTATTTGAGACAAGGGGCCCATGTTTTGAAATCCTTTATTTGAAATAAGTGGCCCCTGCTTTGAAGACCTATATCTAAGATATGAGGCCCCTGTTTTGAATCCCTATATTAGAGATAAGGGGCCCCTGTTGTCTCTTTATTTTAGATAAGAGGTCTTTATTTTAAGTCCTTTATCTGAGATGCCCTTTATTTAAGATAATTTATAGCCACTATTTGAGATGAGGATCTCCAGTTTGGGGCCTTAGCTGTAAATCCTGTTACTTCAAGCTATGTGAATGTTGTCTAAATATATCAAGACAGATGTGAGCAAAATACGAGGGTTGGTCCGTCTGAAGGGGGGTCCCATAAAAGGTCATAATCCGGCCCTATGTATATTACAGTCTTTTGATCTAACTGTAGATGTTTCAAAATAACAGAAAGGAATCTCATTAGATCCGAATCAAATTTCTAGATAACTAATATGTGAATACACATGCATGGGGAATGAGGTGCACATACTAAATGGAAAACGTGCTTAAGGTGCTAATTTCTAAACAAACAAACAGACAAACACACAGATACATATACATACTAGGATTTTCCCTTTTTCCCAAAACAATTGTCAGGTTTGGTCATGAGTCCTTCTGTGTTTTTAAAAAATTGCAGAATTAAAGTATATGTTAAAACCTATTACCCCAACCACAGAGCAAGCTGCATTAGGTCCAACAACACTGCGAAGGAATTAATAAAACATGTTTATTACTATTATTCTTCTGTTAACATGAAGGAAGACCTAAATCATGTGAAATATGATCATTCAGATACTATTCCACAGTATCAGGTAGTGTCCTTGTGCTCAATTTACAAATACCCAGTATCTGCCCATCAAGATGTCACATTGATTGTTGTATTTGTAACGTCAAAATGTGATGTTATATCTTGCAACTCTATCAGGAATTTTGAAAAAACTCTGAGATATAATGGTTTGTTTGAACATAGCATCTAAAACTGAGCCATAAAAGTACACACCAATATACAAACTTAAGACTAACACACACCTGTGTGTAAACCATTTGATCACTAATATTGTAACGTTCTTTATTACTGTTAAAGCAATATATATTGGTAAACATGATCTATAAAATGACAGAAACTGAAATGAAAAGAACAGCAAGCGAGGAGGAGGAGGGAGTTTGGAATGAGAGCAGGAGGAAGAAAAGTGAGGAATAAAAAGAAGAAGGAAGAAGGCAAAAGAAAAAGCAGAAGTGAAACAAAAAATGTTTCTTCATGCTAATAAAATAACAGGAATTGTGTTATCCTCTTGATGAAGAGGGATTCCTTACATCTATTTTGACATTTCACTCACACAAATCTTATTAACAAAACTGAAAAAACTGCATGCCAAAACATCTGCAATTTCCCAATTTGGCAGTACCATATATCTTACCAAAGGGAGGTTATTGTGACATCCTAGTACTTTTGCAGTCTTCTTATTACAAGAATCATTTACCATTAACGTAAGTTTACATGAGAAAGAACCTTATAATTCATTGATCACAGCCTTAACAAGCAACCTTTATTCATTACCATAAAATATTTATCTTATCCTATTCCTACCGTTTACATAAAAAAATAAATAACTGCTCTAGTCATTGCTGTCCCAAATATTGTTAGTCTTTTGCATATGTAGAAACATTTTAAATACTCTTGGTATGAACATGTTATTTTTCTTGTTTTAATCCACTGAAGCTGGGCGGGTATGTATACATGTCATATATGCTGTAAGTTTGGTTTATTAATTTTTTTGTTTACATATAAATGCCTCTACGAAAGCTTAGTCACCGAGGAATTAATTTCTGATCTCACCTGTTTATCCTATTTCTTGATATCTTTTTAATAAAATAAATTAATGAAATTGTTACTGTTCGTACTATAATGGTAAAATAGTAATAATGTAAATAATAATGATGACATTAATCATGACAGCATTAGCATTACAAATAGAAACATTACCTGAAAATTCAAGGAATAGGGTAAAAGATGGTATCACAGCTAAGCCTAGTATTTGACTCCTTGATGACTAAGGTCTTGTGGAGCCATTTGTGAGTAAACAAAACTGACAAAACAAAACTTTAGTGGATAGTGCAAGTACCCAGGTCCAGAGCATTAATAAAAAAAGGCATACTCCTACTATTTGTCTTTTCTGAACCATCAATATCTATGGACTAACAACAATTGGTTAGCTTGCAATGATGGCACCTTATGAAGTTCACTATGAAATGGATAGTGTTGGAAAAATGAAGAAACCTTTTCAAATCAACACACTGATTTCTTTTCAAATACCTTTGTATCAGATATTTCCTACTGTATTACATCCACTGAGTAATGTTTTCTAAATGAAGGAGACACAGAGAAAGAAGAAGGAAAAGAAATAGAAGAAAAAAAATCTAATATACAATACTGATTAAAAAATCAGTGAATAATCATTCTGCTTTTAAAATGTCTAATGATATCTTATTCTACATCTACCATAATTTCTTCTTTAAATTAGCAACTGCAAAAACACTGATAGTCAAGCTCATGACTTCTTTTTTCTAAATAAATAGATAATCAAATTTAACTCTGTAACAATGACTTTTACCTATGCCATACTGAGCTGCACACATTCAGCCACTCAATCAAACAATTAGAGGAACAGGAAACATATGCAGTAACGACTCTCTTTGTATGAGGAATGAATGATATCAAGTCATGGTGGACTGAGTCACATATAGCACCACATAATGACATATCCTGCACCACTGGCTTGTCAGTGGGAGCTTCTCTTTCTCCAATATTTGCAGCATCATTTGTTTGGTGCCAGTATTGGGGAAACTGCCAATGTGTACTGCCTGCCCTGAATTAATGGCCACCATCTAATTTCTAATATTGCAATCATTGGCTAAGCCTACTTTGGATGGTTGTACCTCCTTAGTAACTACAGAACCAAACAACTTGTATAGCATATCCCATGTAAAGCTGGCTCAACTTGCTAACACTTGCAAACTTGAACATGGACTTGGTGTGTCATGGCAAGAATAGATGCTAACTGGCATAAGGTTAAGAAAGCCTTCATGTTATTGTCTACTTCTGTAATAATCCCTGTAATTAAGTGGCGATGGTGTATTTATGCATGTACACTTCAACTTGTAATTTGCAGAAAAAGCCCTTAATAGAGTTTATGATCTTTGTATAATCATTTCACAACACAGTATCCCAGATACTAATGCCTCATGAAATACAATATCAACTCTCCCCTTGTTTCATCACACTCCCAAATTATCATTCACACATTTTTTTTTAATACATAGGTGGCCCTTATGGTTAAGCAAGGTTGTTAACTGGAAAAATAAAATAAATATAAATATATACATTACATACACATAGTAGCAAAACACCTCATCAGGTGTGTCTGTAGAAAGATTTTACTAAAATACATATACTTAAAAAGTACCGGTTAACATCTCAATTACTTACCTATGAATCATATCCATGTCTACTAACACTAAAATACACCACTTAAATTCACAGTAAAACACTGGATTTGTTGCTCTAAATAACAATTTACTAACATATACAAAATAATGATACACTCACATACACACACTGAAAAAACAAGCACATCTGTAATACAATATTCACATTATCATTCATGCATGAGGTTGAAGGAAACATGAAACATGAAGTGAGCTACATTGTCATTTTCTGGTTTTTAACATCTAACACACTTTTTCAATGAGTAATTTTATGACTACATTTTTCAGTAATTTCACTCATCCAAACATTGACATCACATCAGCCATTCTCATCCTTAAACAGGTACTATGGCTAATTTATAAATGCTTCACTAAAGGTTTAGTTGACTAAAGGTTTAGTGGTATGAAAATTCCCCATGCACCTCTGCTACAACTAAATGTTATACGTCTATCATCCATGCAATCTAGATGAATGCACAAAACTTAAAACACTAGCTAAATTGGTTGGATAAAAAAACAGAATATGTTGACTGCCAATTTTGCTATATGATTATATATGATTTTCTAAAGGGATGCAAAGGAAAAATCTTATGCAATGTTTTTCTTAGTTTGGCAAAGTTGGTAAAAAATTGAAGGTGAATTTCTGTAACACATGTCAATATTATTGAGAGTAATCACATCCTGTAAATGGCGTTTACTTACTTACAGTACTAAAAGAATTTAAGATAAAACTGTAAATGCATTCTTTATTTAAATCATACTCTTTCAATCTTAAAAGTCAATGGAATAAAACTTAATCCCAGTGCTTGAAATGGGGTTACAATCTCTCAAGTTCCAACACCACATTCACATCTGACAGATAATACAAGTGTCAAATACTAGTCTAGTAGTTTCTTACTAATATCCTACACTACTATGGACAAACAACAACTCTCAATACCTTCACCAGGAGACATCACAGGTTAAGCGTTAGACACATAAGAGACAGGACGATGCACGGTGAAGGAGGATAGTACTTACAAAGAACACAACTCCTACACCACATTCACTAACCTTCTGGAAATAGGCCACAGAAGACAAATCAGTACAGAGTTAAGACAAAGAATTGTTCAACATGAAACGATCATACTGACATATGGACGCACTATTAATAACAGAAAAAAAATTATACATGTAATATATATCAGAAATATGTACTTCTTTTGTATATAGTGTCTAGAACAGAATAGATTCAGAGATTAAATATTCTGAAAAAATATCAATATTAGCATCATTATCATCATAAAAGGTGAAAAAAGAGAAAAAAGAAGTTATATAGTTTAAACACTTCTACATATATCCTGAAAATGGGAAATTCATCATAGGGCAGAAAAAATACAACTTGTGTTTCCTTTCTCTTAAATTCCTAAATTCATTTTTAAACAGAACAAGAAGCATCTATGGAATAATAAATGAAGAAAGACAAAGAAAATATAAAATATATGAACTTGGAAGGAAAGACACAGGAGAAACCAAACTTATGTTGGGATACTTTTTTCAAGTTTTATGCAACAAATCTGGCTAATGAACAAATTCCTCAGATTCATATGTAATATGTTCCATTGGTACTCAGGTTATCTGAATTCATGTTAAGTATTATATATATTACATAAGCTTATTCATTCATTTTCCTCAATGTGTTTCAGCAAAACATGTTATCACTCAAACCAGATTACCTTTCTAATATATTCTACAGCATTTCACTGAATGCAGTTACAAAATGTGAATAATACTCTAATTTCATTCTGAAATATAGTGATAACTTCAAGCCCATAAATAAATCATATCCAGCTATTTTTCTACTTAACCCAGTGCTGACAGGCATGGCATGTACATACATACCATGCCCACTGAGAGTTTACTTTATTAATTGTTTTTGCTAATAGTCACCAATGAGCCAACTACGAGTACTGCCTGTCTCGCACGTTTACCCTATTTATTGATTTACAAAAATATCTTATTTTCCTTATTTTCTTATTTTTAGCATGTGGTTAATAGCCATTAAAATCATCACATAAAAATATGCTTACTGCAAACATCACTCACAACCTTTACACGCTTCATAAATGTACATCCAGTTTCCATATCTAGTACATCAACACTTTCCTTTCTAATTTATCACAAATATTTATAATTTCTCAGTTATAGTTTAATTCTACTGTGCTTGAATACAATGTTACAGCTTTTAAACAGTCTTCCTTGACTTACAGGCGCCATATGAAGTATTTTATTAACAAATATTCACCATAAAAAACTGTCCTCATACTTCTGCTACTTTTGGACTTCCTCATCCAACAAGCTGGACAAGATATTTTTTTTTTTTTTTGCCATCTGGGACAAGTTATTCATCTCACCCACCTTTGCAGCCAGGCAAACAGTATGAGATGACATCCCAATAGCATTTGTATGTAAGCAATGACAGTTGTAGGCAATCATAAGATATTGGTATGTTAATTTTGGGTTTGTCAGTGGCAGATAAGTTACTTATGCATATGTAGTGTGTAAAATAAAGACACTGTACTAATAAATTAGCAAATGTGTATTTTAGAGCTGGTTGTATTGTCTACCTGAGCAAGAGAGGGTGTTCAAAATTCAGCATTCGTCATCCTAAGGAGTCATTTACTAGGCCTATTCTTCCTTACCTATTTACCCCATTCCTTGAAATTTTGGATATATTTTTTTCAATTACTATCATTATTGCCATTTGTTGCTTTCAGTGAATCTGGCAAATTGGCTAACCATGCCACTTCTGAGGGATGCCACAGTGAAACTGGTGAGTTTTCACATCATACTGTCATTGAGGGAACACACAGTGAACTGCTGTATCCAGTGAATCATCCAAAGATACCTAGTGTAAGTTTAACCCAATGCCAACAGGGATGGCATATACATACGTGCCATGCCCACTGTGAGTTTACTTGTTTAATTGTTTTTACACGTAGATGGCTACACATGTACTAAGTCACCAATGAGCCAATTACAAGTACTACCTGTCTCGCCTATTTACTCTTTTCTTTGATTTACAAAAATATTTTATGTTATCTTATTTTACTGTTACTAATGTTTATAATGTTATGGTAATTATAATGTTTATAATAAATATAACACTATCGATATTCATAGCACTAGTAAAAAACCAATTCAAGGAAAGGCAAAATCAGGTAATCTCACAAGGTCTACTAATTGACTCCTTTGTGGCTAAGCACTAGCAGAGCCATCTATGTGCAAAGACATTTCACAAAAATATAAAATATGAGCACAATAATTTCCCCATTTTTTGTTCATTTTCCAACACTGACCTCATGTCAAGTCTGATATCATTACCTTGCTGTGGGTTACTGCCCCACCTCATAAGAATACTACGGAAATGTTGACTGTTCCATCTTGGCTCCAATTAAATTTTCACAGACAGACAACTCTCTTACACAAGCTCCACAGTCCATTTGATCAGCAAAAACAAGTATTAGCAAATCCTGAGGGTTGCTCGAAGGGAACCTTCTAGAGAGCTGTGAACCCATACTGGTCAGGGTAAGGTGCTACTTTCTGTCATATCCCCGTTTCAAATTGTAAACAATGTCTGGCTTCTTTGCCACTAAATCAGTTCTCTGTCTGGAATAGGTTCCTAAAAAAGGTTCTAACCTAGAGTAAGGGACTGAAGACAGGCCTGTTGACAAAAGAACCAAAGGTACAGTATTACCCCTATTCAAAGTTGTTAAACCAAAGGGCTTTGATAATGCTTATAAAGTCAGAAGTCTGGAAAAGGAACTTCTGAGGGGCATGAGTGTATCAACCACTAGGTGATGGATCCTATCATTACAACCACTAAAAGTGAAATTGCTGACCTTGTTATTCAAGTTGGTTAGTGATGGGAGGAACGTTTATGTGACTTAGCTGACAACAAAGATGGTTCTCCTAGGATTTCCACTATCCCTTGGTCTTTACCTTAGAGAAAGCCATCTACAAATCATAGAATTAAATGTCTTCTGTTTGGGAAGGACAAGATTCCAACCAGGGTAAGTACTAATTGGTGTAAAGGGCAAAAGTACAAGCAGTCTTGACATGAGGAAATTAGGAAACATACTAATTCTGAACATTTCTACCAATCACACTCAAGTGCTTTAAATGTCAGCATCATGACCATTATCAGGAAAGTTGCAAAGCTAAAGCAAACTGTGGCAAACCACAGATGACAGAAGTGTGTATTGAGAAATTCAAGACAGTATCAAGGGAAAGACTAAATGTTCAAACTGCAAAAAAAAAAAAAGAAAGAAAATAAAGAAAAAGAAAAAACAACAAGAACAACGATTTGGAGCCTGTTCTATATGTAAAACAGAAAGTAGTGAAGAAACATGAATATTCAACTAAATAGAAGTACTTGGTAGCAGCACCAGAGGATTCTTAACTAGTGGCAATAGAAACCCCAAACTGAAAAGGCACCTATTCCAGCCCAAGAAAGGATCACCTCAGACAGACAGCTATCACCTATTCCCTGATCTCAGTGTAGCATCTAGTTATGCCGCTAAGAAGCAAGGAATATAAGCCAATCTGCAAACAGTAAATAATACATCTACAGGGAAAACTTAGAAAAAGGGAAAGCAAAAGGTGTTGCAATGATGCAAATGCATGTAATATACTTTTCAAAAAAGTTTGTATTAACCCATTGCTGCCGGGGAAAATGAATAAAAAATGGGGAAAATGCTGTGCTCATTTTTCATATTTCAGTGAAATGTCTACACATAGATGTCTCTGCCTTACTCAATTTCACCATTCCTTGAATTGACGGGAAAATGTATTTTATACTAGTGCTATGAATATTGATGGTGTTATTTTTATCATAAACATTATAATTACTATAATGTTATAATCATTAGTAATAGCAAAATAAGATAACAAAATATTGGTGATTTAGTACAAGTGTAGCCATCTATGAGTAAAAATAATCAAACAAGTAAACTCACAGTGGGCATGGCATGTACGTACATGCCATGAACGAAGGGAAAGGGTTAACAAGATTTCAAAAGACCCCCCCCATCACTACTGCCTGATGAGAATGAGACAAAGATGTTGAAATGCTTTGCTTTCAGTATATCAAAACATTAGGTCAGGGTATCATGTCCTATGCCCTTACATATTAGTCTAAGATATTTATTCCTTGAATTTTAGTGAAGATTTGTGTTAGTCACTCATCTTTACCTTTTTACTACAATCAAATATTATCTACCCAATTTTTCATAAATCTATAAATCAGGTCACTTTCTTTCTTACATGATTTACAGTTGTAAAAGTTAGTCACAATACCTTTATTACCTTTATTCATATCCCTAGTGATTTTGTAGCAGTTACTGGTATTCTTTGGCATACAGGCATCCATTACAATAAAGACTGGGATATGTTACTCAAAAAATTACTCTAGGGTGATAGATCATATATCTATAGAATCACAACCTGAGAGAAAGCAATGTTAACCCATTGCCGCCTGGGATGGCATGTACACACATGCCATGCCCACTGTGAGTCGACTTGTTAGATTGTTTTTACACATAGATGGCTACACTTGTACTAAGTATCCAATGAGCTAATAACGAGTACTGCCTGTCTCGCCCGTTCACGCTTTTCATCGATTTACGAAAATATTTAGCTTTATCCTAATTTGCTGTTAAAAATAACACCATCTATATTTATAGCATTAGTATAAATACGTTTTTTCCCGCCAATTCAAGGGGACTTCCATACTTCCATATATTATATCAAAGTAAATGTGCATTTGAAAAGTTGGCAATAGCTGGTTGAATCCATGTCCAAATAATTGCATTCAAAATAATTCTCATCAACTGACCCTCTGAGTTATTAAATGACTAGCATCACCAACTCTCAACCTGTCAAGTGTTTGACTTGTAAGCCAGGCGCAAACAAACACAAGCGTGCTGACAAGATTCCATGATTCCATTTGCAATGTTATTTTGTCTTTTTCTGCATAAGAATTCTTTGCATTTTTACAATTTTTCAATGTATATATC